TGTGTATATACCCAGGAGAGGTATAGCTGGGTCTTGAGGTAAAGTTATTCCCAGTTTTCTAAGAAAGCTGCAGGTTGATTTCCAAAGTGGTTGTACAAGCTTACACTCCCACCAGCAATGGAAGAGTGTTCCCCTTTCTCCACACCCCGGCCAGCAGCTTGATCTTGGCCATTCTGCCTGGTGTGAGATGGAATCTCAGAGTTGTTTTGATTTGCATTCCCCTGATGACTAAGGAAACTGAGCATTTCTTTAAGTGCTTCTTGGCCATTTGACATTCCTCTGTTGAGAATTCTCTGTTTAGTTCTGTGCCCCATTTTTAAATTGGGTTATTTGTTTGTTGGTGCTTGATTTCTTGAGTTTATTATATATTCTGGATATTAGCCCTGTGTCAGATGTAGGATTGGTGAAGATCTTTTCTCAGTCTGTAGATTCTTTTTTTGTTCTATTGACAGTGTCCTTTGCCTTACAGAAGCTTTTCAGTTTCAAGAGGTTCTGTTTATTAATTGTTGATTTTAGAGCCTGAGCTGTTGGTGTTCTGTTCAGGAAGTTGTCTCATGTGACAGTGAGTTTGAGGCTCTTCCCCACTTTCTCTTTTAATAGATTTAGTGTATCCGATGTTATATTGAGGTATTGGACCCACTTGGATTTGAGTTTTGTGCAGAGAGATAAATATGGATCTATTTGTATTTTTCAGCATGTAGACATCAGCACCATTTGTTGAAGATGCTGTTTTTTTTTTTCCATTGTGTGGTTTTAGCTCCTTTGTCAAAAGTCAAGTAACCATAGGTATGGGGATTTATTTTTGGGTCTTCAATTCGATTCCATTGATCAACCAGTCTATTTCTACGCCGGTACCATGCAGTTTTTATTACTCTGTAGTATAGCTTGAGGTAAAGGTATGGAGATACCTCCAGAAGTTCTATTATTTTATAGGATTATTGTAGCTATTCTTGGTTTTTTGTTTTTTCATATGAAGTTTAGAATTGTTCTTTCAAGGCCTGTAAAGAACTGTGTTGGTATTTTGATGGGAATTGCATTGAATCTATAGATTGCGGATTGCCTTTGGTAAGATGGCCATTTTTACTGTGTTAATCCTACCAATCCACAAGCATGGGACATATTTTCATATTCTTATATCTTCAATTTCTTTCTTCAGCAACTTGGAGTTCTTGTTACACAGGTCTTTTTCTTGGTTAGAGTTACACCAAGATACTTTATATTATTTGTGGCTATTTTGGAGGGTATAGTTTCCCTAATTTCTATCTCAGACACTTTGTTGTTTGTGTATAGGAGGGCTACTGATTTTATGAATTAATCTTGAATCCAGCCAATTTTCTGAAGGTGTTTATCAGATGCAGGAGTTCTCTGGCAGAATTTTTGGGGTCTCTTTTGTACACTATCATACCATCTGCAAATATCGATACTTTGACTTCTTTCTTCCCAATTTGTATGCCCTTGATCTCTTTTAGGTGTCTTATTGTTCTCGCTAGAACTTCAAGTACTGTATTGAAGACTTATAGCATGGACAGCCTTGTCTTGTCCCTGATTTTAGTGGAATTGCTTTGAGTTTCTCTCCATTTAATTTGATGTTGGCTATTGGCTTGCTGTATATAGCCTTTATTATGTTTAAATATAGGCCTTGTATCCCTGATCTTTCCAAGACTTTCATACTGAAGGGATGTTGGTTTTTGTATGTTTAACCATTCCTAGATCCCTGGGATTAAGCCAACTTGATCATGGTGGATGATGTGTTTGATGTGTCTTGGATTTAGTTTTTGAGTATTTTTGCATTGATGTTCATCAGTGAAATTGGTCTGAAATTCTTTTTTGAGTCTTTGTGTGATTTATGTATCAGGGTGACTGTGGCTTCATAGAATGAATTTGACAATGTTCCTTCAGTTTCTACTTTGTGGAATACTTTGAGGAGTATTGGTATTAGCTGTTCTTTGAATGTCTGATAGAATTCAGTACTAAAACCATCTGGACCTGGGCCTTTTGTTGTTGTTGTTGTTGTTGTTGTGAGACCACACACACATTTATCCTCTCAACTTAATCCTTACAAGCTCTTTGTTTATTTGTGACAGTCTTACATTGTAACCTTGGCTGAAACTAACTATGGATACTAGGCTGGCCTTGATAGCAGAGATCCACCTCCCTCTTCCTCTCCTTCCCCCTCTCCCCCATGTCTGGGATTAAAAGCATGCTCCACGACACCCCAATGGCCTTGTAAGCTCTTAAGTAGAAGTATTTGATTAAACATAGAGCATGGCTCATATGTGTGAGTCAAAGAACAACTTGCAGGAGTCAGCATTCTTCTTCCATTCTGTGAAACACAGGGATCTCAGGTCATCAGGCTTGGGGGGATAGCTCCTTTACGATCTAAAATATCTTGCTGGCCCATTCTTGATTTGGGGAGTGTGTGTGTGTGTGTGTGTGTGTGTGTGTGTGTGCCTTTCCCTGCTTCCTTTTTATGTGAGGTGTTTTATTGGTTTGGGAGGCGGGGGGGAGGGTTTGTTTGTTTGTTTGTTTGTTTGGCTCTGGTTGGGGTTTTTGGGTTTTTTGAGGTTTGTATGCAGAGGGGTTGAAGCTAGGTCTTACTATGTAGCTTGTTTGGGCTGGACCTCAGACCTACCTGCCTCTGCCTCCCGAATGCTGGCCTTAGAGGACAGCTTTCAGGGATTATTTCTCACCCCCGTCTTGTGGACATGGGGTTTCTTGTTTTTGTCCTCTGGCCCATAAGCTTCTAACTCCCGTTTTCCAGTAGGAGTGCTGACTTTTTATGGGTTTCTGTGATCAAATGAGGTCTTCATGTTGCCAGACAAGCACTTTACCATCTCCCTATCCCCCACAGTTAATTATTACCCAGAGTATTTTACGAATGTGTCCAGTTACTACATAGTATGACTCTGTTGATAATAGTGATTCATTAATATCATTCATCTTCCTTATTCAATGCATCTGTTCTAGGTTCATCATAGTTCATCACCTATATAGTATGACTTATATTTGAAAGTAATACAACTTGATTTCTCTGTAAATATTTATAGTGTAGACCTTTCCCTAAATCAGATTGCAGCCCAGTCCCAATTATTTCTAATAAAGTCTGCTTGCATCTTTTTCCTTCTGTCTGTGCAACTATATGTACTTCATGTTCTGTAGAAACACTGATCCTTTATATTTACACCATAACATCCAATTCATTCCACTCCTGTTCACTGCCACGTAGGCTCTATAGTTACAAAGTATAGAAAGTTTAATTGCTTCAGGTTTTTTTTATTTTTTTTTAAAAAGGTTTTACTGTGTTGCTCAGGCTAGTTGTAAAATCACTGTGTAGCCCAGGCTGGCCACTGTGATCCTCCTTACTCAGCATTCCAAGTGCTGAGATTACATTCATGAGTCATCTTACCAGTGTTAATTAGAATTGAATAGATGATTCTGGGTTTTTAACATCCAGGATTGTCCAGCCTTTTGACACTGCAATGTAACTTTGTCATCTGTAAATATGCTAGGCCATCTTCCTAGGTACCGTAAGACTTACAAAGCCCATGAGGCCACAGATAGAGCTGCTTGACAACATGCTCACTGGCTTGCTCAGTAGACCTTTCTGAGAAGATTGATTTCCTAGGTTTTGTTTGGTTTTATAAGGTAGAGTCTCACTTTGTAGCCTAGACTGGCCTCGCCCAGGATCCTCCTGCCGTACTTTAATTGATGTAGTGCCGGGGTTACAAGCAAGCTTTTCCTTGCTCAGCACAATGGGATCGTTTTTTCATTAACATTTCTGTGTCTGTTGTGTTGACTCTCTCTTTGACTGGGAATGATAATAAACAACTGTAATCCCAGATCCTGGAGCACCAGATACCCAGAAAGCAAGTACTGCCATTTGTCCCTGGCCAGTCGACAGAGTATGGCCAAACCTGCAGTGTAGAGTACAGCCCTAACTTTCTTCTGTGTTTTTTTTTTTTTTTTTGGGGGGGGGGGTTGTTTTGTTTTTTTTGGAAAGAGTCCCATAATAGGTCAGGCTGGCCTCAAACTTACAATACTAACTTCTGCTCTTGCCTCCCGAGTGCTGGGATTACAGTCATATGCCACACACCTGCACACATGTGCAAAGCAGGTGCTCACCTCAGTTCTTAAGAGCTTTAGTCAGCAAGGCCATTCTTAAAGCCCCTAAAATCTCCTACTTCCTTTTTGCTTTGAGGTGAGATTGAAGTTTGCAAAGGCATTAGCCAAGTCTGTCTTCATAGGGTGCAAATTTGTCACCTCAGAGGTCCCAGCTCCCAATAAGAAACTACCATGCAGTCATTTGCAGTTGTCTCCTAGGCCAGATTTCATCAAAGCATACCAGAGCTGCCAGGCTTAGAGCACTGCCCAAGGTTACTCTGTAGGGAAAAGGCAAACCCTGCTCTGGCTGCACTTGTCCCTGCTGTTCGCCTGTGAATTCTGTGGTAGCTGTGCCTTTTGTTAGCTGGGGCAGATGGCCAAAGGTAACCAGATTAGCTTATGTATAATAAGCCAACTAAAATCAACAATCCTTTACATGGACAGCAAGTGTTCTCACAGAATAATAGTAACATTCTTTATTTTGCCATTGTGATTTTTCTGTAGAAAGGCACTCAAGACTATATTTACAGTTAAAAGTCGAAGCTCTTTCAGGAGATCTAAAATTTCACTGCCAGCAACCCAAGCAGTCTTGGGGATTTGCTAGGGGTTGCGATTCAGTCCACAGAAGCACTTCCTTTAGCTCACAGTTTCTGTTCAGTCACACGATCTGTCCAAAAAAGAGCGAATAGAGTCAATCTGCAGGAGTGTGAACTACCTGCCTGTGGCTCTGCTAACCCACACACAAAGCGTTGCTCTGCACCAAGCGCTCTGGTGCAGTACACAGGGTCATTTCTCTGAACAGCGGGTGAGCAAGCAGTGTCAAGTTTTGCCAGTGATCTTAAGTACTAAGCATTACCAAGTTAAGTGAGTCTGCTTTTTTTTTTTTGCTTTCATTACAGAGAATGATGTCACTGCTTTTGCTGTCTTGGATCAAAACCAGAAGGAAATCGTCGACACCAATGGAGCTGGAGATGCATTTGTTGGAGGTACAGACTCACTTATTTCACCTTTGCTTCTAAGTGAAACATTTTAATCCAGTACTGTCTCCATCAGCTACAGTCATTGTATACGAGGGGATTTTACTACAGGTGCATTTGTTTGCTGAAGATCATTTGGTGCAAGAGTAATTGTGTCAGAACATTGTAACAAGCCACAGCAAGTACAGTAGACAGCCGATTCGTGCCCGATTGTCACAGTGTCTGTACCTGATAGTGCCCATGTGATGCTTAAGAAGGGTTAAGTTTTTTACTAATTCAGGCCCAGTAAGAAGGAGCAAAAAGTGAGATCAGGACAGTTAGGTTTTTAAATTACTCAAAGTTCACTGTAGTTTTAAGCCAGGCAATGTCTCTAGAAAACTTTGGAGTCCTGAGTGCTGGCCCACAGGGGTTTCTGCTGGAAAACAAGACAAGGCTGGGTTTTAAAGACCAGTGGAGATGACTGTTGCTACCTTCTCCTGAAAGGTGATATGCATCATGGGAAATGCTTAAATATGATGGTTGTAACAAGTGTTATTTCAGTTTAGTGATCTTTTCATCAACAAAAGTGTTTCATTTCTCTAAAATTTCTTATACATATTCCTGAGGGTATAAAACAGGTACTCTACCTCATTTTCTTTTATCCAATGAGCTTTCATTATCTTTTCTTGTTACCTTCATTTAGTATTTATTATGTGTGTACCTTTGTTACACTCACATAAACACCCAAGCCACTGTTTGTATGTGGCTGTCAGTCAGTTCTGCTTTCCAAGTTCAGGGCCAGTGGTCCTGCTAGGATTCTAAGGCTTGCCAGGAAGTACCTTTACCTATCTTACTGGCCCTTGTACGCTTTACAAAAGTGTGTATAATGGACAGTATACCACTTCATGCTTGGTTTTGGTTCCTTGTACTGAAAGACTTCATCAGTGATAATATTAGAGTAATCTACAGCTAATTTTCCTATTCCATCCCCTTCAGAGCTGTAAATCTTTGTAAGCTAAAAATATTTTATTCAGAATTAAGCCATACTGCATAATGCATTAAGGAAACAGTAGTGATTTTTCTGATTAGAAATTAGTTAAACCAAGAATCTTAGTCCAGAAGCCTATATACTTATATGCTGTGTTCACATTATTCAAGTGCTTTAACTCTGCAAAGCGGTACGTGTTCTATTTACTTGACATTTAGTGGGAAGTATAATGAGGCTATCACAGATACGAGGGTGACCTAATTACTACGTCTGGCCCTGCAACAACAGATCACACTGCAGATAGTGCGCCTGCCAGTACCCAGTGAGAATGCAGGGCCTGTGAGGGAAGGAGCTCTTCTTAGGGACCAAGCTAGGACAAGCTAACTGCAGTACACACTGTGGCGAGTGATGGCCTGAACTGTACCAGAAAGGTTGGCACTTGTGTTAAAGATATACACCATACCTGGTGGTATGGTGTGAAACATTTGTTTATCATGGGAAGTGGTCATAGTTGTGCCACAGAGTGTGTAAAAATCAGAGGACAGCTTGTGGGAATTGGTTCTATCAAACTCAAATCTCGGGCTTAGGAACAGGCACATTTACCTGCTCAGTCTGTAGCCCTTAAGCCTCTTTTCAGAGCCTTGGCTGTGGCTACTGTTAGGTAAATATAAAGGAAAGAAGCCTTTAGGGGTTCTGCTTTGTTTTGTTTTGAAACAATCTCAAGTGTCCCATACTGGCCTTGTAGTTTGAAGCACTCACCTGGCATGCACAAAACATGTGGTTGGATCCTTAACAGCACATAAAATAGTGGCTATGCATGTCTGTAACACTACACATGGGAAGGGGATGGAAGCAGGAGGCTCAAGAGTTCAAGGTCTCTTCACTCATAGTGAGCTCAAGGCCAGCAGGGCTGCTCTATACCCTGTATTTAAAAAACAGAAACCTCTCATGAGTTCCCAGGACGATCACATGTTGAAACATAAGGTTGTAAAATGAGATGAAACCCTATGTCAGTTACCAGTGGAAGATTTCTGTTGGCCTACTCAGCACATCTGTGTGTGTGAGTCACACCGTAATGGTTACAGTAGATAACCTTATGTTCTACCTTAACCAGCTGGGAGAGAGGGGCCATGATGGCAGCTGTAGTGGTGGGAATCCAACTCTAAAGCCTTGTGAAAACTAAAGAGTACTGTACCACTGAGCTACATCCCAAGACCTTGTTGTTGTTGTTCACGCTTACTTAGTTTCTGTTTGTATGAGTATGGGCAACACATATCATGGTACACATGTGGAGGTCAGTGGGCAGCTTACAGAAGCTGGGGTTTACTTCCACCACGCAGGCCCCAGGGATCAAATTCGGTGTTTAAAGTCAGTCTCTGAGAATGCAGTTGCTACACTGTATACTTCTGGAAACAGGATTTGAGAGAGAGAGAGATCTCATTAAAGCTAAGAGCCACAGGCCAGCCTTTCTAACAAGCACTGGCTTGCTAAAGAGAATCTGAATAAAATGACTTCGTTTACTGAAGAGCACCTTTTATTATCTGATAGGATGGATGCTGAGGACTCCAGGTAAGTTTGTTACATCAAAGAAAGAAACTGAAACTGTAGAATGGAAGGGCTACATGGGAGTTTGAGCCAAGAGCCTCTCAGGCAGTAGAGTAGATTGCAGCAGGAGGTAGGCAGAGCCAGATAATAAACCTACTTGGCAAGTATGACGTCCAAACAGAAATTATATGAAGCAGCTGTTTAATTGCACCAAGATAAGCTACCTGACAAATCTATCCTAAAACAGAAATGGTTTTACATCTTAAAAATAAATAAATAAACCCATTGGCTGAAACCCCAGGTTCCCATCTCCATATCAGCAAGAGCTTTTCTCCAGGGATTAGAAATAACCAGCTGTTAAACTCCTATCTTTGACATAAATGGAGAGGCAGTGGCAACTTTTACATTACTAAGTAGATTCTTTTTCTTTGCTTCATTGCCTGATTAACATATCTCCTTTCTGATTGACATATTCTATCTTTAGAAAGATAATATATTCATCCTGTTACTTTCAAGTCTTGCTGGCCTAAGAGTATTTCTGTCTTGTGTGACTTTGCATATCTGTATTCCAGTCTATAGTGTTATAGTGATTTAACTCTCTAAAGTACAATAATTTTCTCCTCATACATTTCAAGATTTTTGCTATAGCATCACTCTAGCTACCTTGTGCCGATTAGATAACTCAGTAACAAACTACCATGTGTTCTCTTTTGCCAGTGAAAATTATAAACTTACCTCTTGATTCTCATCTATAACTTGTAAATGAGTACCCCCAGTGTACATGAATTAAACTCATAGTTCCATCTCAAGGATTTAGTGTGTGTGTGTCAAATCCCTCTGGCCTTGACAAACACACCTCCTTGTTCTATTTGGAGATCTTAAATGCTTTGTAACCTTTGCTCTTTTATTTCTCAGTGATAAAACTCCTGCTTTCACATTCTTCCTCAAAAGCCTCAGTGTCAGGATTGTACCTTTTGAAATAGAGAAATTCTATAAGCTCTAACTATGATTTCCTAATTTCCTAGGTCAGAAGAAAATTTCTTGTTGTCCTGCTGTGCTTTGTCACAGCAGGTCTGCCTTTTCATTTGGAACCCTCTTTGTCACTGCCATAGTAACAAATGGAAACATTGAGAACATTTTGTGACAGGCACTGTCATTGTTCCCAGTGAAAGTTTCCTCACAGTAAATGAAACTGAGAAGAAAAATCATAACAAATGATATGAAAGGAGACCTAACCAGGACGTCCCCACTGGGCATCACTGCTAGCCTGTGTTAATATGATAGGATTTAATCATATGTTTTGCAGGACTGTGTGTGAACCAAACCTACAAATCCTCTTTAGACTGAAAGTGAATACACCTATGACAGATGGTGTCCAGGCACCCTTGGATAAAAGACTAGAGGCCTCTCTTAAGAACCGACATTCTCAGGAGAACAAAATGACACAGGAATGGTTAAGACCCATCTATAGTTTAAAACATAGTATTTTGAGAGTTAAAAACCTGTAATACATCTGAGTGCTTTTGGTTCTCAACATTCTCATCTCAGCTTTAGGTGAGAGAATGTATTGCCTAAAAAAATGCCTATAATATGTAAAGACTCTTAAGGCCATTTAGTGACCACAGTGTAAAAAAAAAAAAAAAAAAAAAAAAAAACTATTCTGTTTTTCATCTGATAAAATTTCACTGTTTAATTTATATTTAGAAAATAATTTTGTTTTGTCTTTAGTTATTTCCAAACCCAGTAAGATGGCTCAGTGGCTGGCAGAGTCACTTGCCTTGGGACTGTACTCAGTCACTAGGCTTAGATGCCAAGCTCCTTTACCCGTGAAGCTATCTTGCCAGCCTTCATCCTCTGTCCTTAATTACTGCTTCATCGTGTGTTACACAAAGAAATGATGCATAATTCTTGTGATTTTTTTTTCAGTCATGTAGACACTGCTAAGTTGCTCCTGCTCTGTATCTAACTTATTCCTGTAATCAGCCCTAACTAAACTTATCAGGACACACACACACATAATTGAAAAGAAAAAACATGGAGGCTTAGTTGGGAAGAGGAAAAGGATGAGCCAGAGTGAGAAGGGGATAAGAGTGGGTGGGAGGGGTGAATATGATCAGAATACATTATATACATGTCAAAAAACCTCATAAGAGGGAAGATTAAATTCCTACAATTGTTTTGTGTGCCACCACATTCCTTTGCTTTTCTACTTAGATACTAAAAAGTAACATGACAGGCATTCAGGATGCTGTTTCCATGCTTTTGTGCTCAGAAGTCAAAACCTTTCTATAACTGCTGCCTTCTAGGGACTTGTTTGATAATGGCCTACATGATATCTGCCCCTGCTAGACAGCCATGTAGCAGTACGCCACCTTTTTCTGTCTTTCAACTCTAGTAGGACATTGTTTTGATTGATTTATTTAAAAGTCTTAAAATTATCACATGAAGCCAGTTGTCGTAGCACATGCCTTTAATCCCAGCACTCAGGGAGGAAGAG